GTGCGTGTGTGGTGGGGGGTGGGGGGGTCGCCGCCACACAGCCACACACGCCCCGCAGCCATTCCTCTCTTGTTTCCACACACTCCATCAATTCCTCAACCTCGCTGCCTGGCCACCCCCCAGCATGCCTCGCCCCCCACCCACGCCTACCCACGCCCCTGCCACCCACCCCCACCCCAGCAGCTGTCGCCTACCTGGGTACGTCGACTCGGGGTCGTCGTCTGAGGGAAGGCCACAAAGCCGCCCAGCGGCAGCGCGCGCAGCGAGTACTCCACCTCCTTGCCCTGCAGGGAGGCTGAGAAGGGGACAGGCTGAGGGCCGGAGCACGAGCACATGGGGCAAGCCTGGGAGACACCACAGCAACCCACGCGCTGCGGCACCCTGTTGCACGAGCCGCAGCTGCCAGCGGAGCGGGCGCGTGCCTGCCACTTGAACAGCGTGGGCCCGAATCCGATGGAGAACTTGGTGACGTGGATGCCGCGCGACACGGCCGCCCACAAGTGGCCCAGCTCGTGGATCCCCACTGCGGCGGGTGGCGGGCGGGGCGCATCAACGGGCGGCTGAGGTGTGGGCAACTAGGAGGCAGGGTGCAGCAGCAGGCTGGAAACACAGCGGGGAAGCAGCAGGGCGGGGCGGGCACGCGCGTGGCGGTCTGCCTGCCTGCCCGCCTGTCTGCCACCAATGCCTATGGTAGCATCGCAAGGAGGCGCACCTGTGAGGCCCAGCACGCCCAGCGCCTGCAACACCGACCCGGGGCCCTCCAGGTCGAAGCCAGAGCCTGCAGCAGCAGGCAGCGGAAACAACAAACAAAATGTGAGGTCAGGATGAAGCGGCTACGCCAGCCGCACGTGTGAATGCTGCGCTGGATGACAGGGCGTGCATGTGCAAGCCTCGGGGCGATGCGCTAGCTGGGCGTGCGGCGCGCGTATGCTGCTGCTGCCGCCTGCACATGCGCACCTAGCAAGCCGCCGCCGGTGACGGCTCCCAAGCTGAGCATGAGGGTGCCCATACCCTTCCATCCTGACAGCAAGCTGGCGGGCATCCAATGCTCCTGCTGCTGCTGCGGCTGCGGCTGCTGCTGCGCTGGCTGGCTGCCCGGCACCGCCTTGAGCGGCGGCGCCGCCTCCAGCGGCTCTGGCTGCTGCCGCAGGCTGCTGCATGCCACATGGTGTGGCCAGGAGCTGCTGCTGGGGCGCTGTGCGCGCAGGAAGGGGCGTGGCAGGGCCGTGACTGGGCTGCCGCTAAGCAGCCCATGTCGGCCGGCCACAGGCCGGTGGCAGGCAGCAGCTGCCCTGCTGCTGGCAACCAGCTGTGACATGTGCCTGGTTACGGGCTGCGTCTACGTTGTAGCAAAAGGAGGGTCAGGCTGTGCACCACTGAGAGGGGCTTTGGGATGAATTTCGGATGTCAGCAAGTCGAGTGTGTGACGGAATTGCGGCTGGAGTCGCTGGGAGCCAAGCTTTTCCGCGAGCGAACTGGGCCTGCTATGCTCCTGCTGCGCCCCCGGCTTTCATCTCCTGCCACGCCCAGGTCATGCATTCTCACCCCAACGCTCCTGCAGTGGCGGTGATCAGCTGCTGGGCTCTTCCCAGGCCACCGCCGACTGATCAAAATATAAACGCTCCTGGGGCAGCAAGCCCCCGTCCACGCTGCTCCTGCTTCGTGTCGCTACGCTGCTGGGTGCGCGGCTGCAGGCGGGGCCTGCGCTGAGGACGGCAGCGGCAGCGAGGTCGCCCTTCAGGCCGCCCCGCCTTTGGCCGGCGGCGGCAGCGGCGTGGCAGCACCAGGCGCGCCCCGTGCACGACTTCCTGGTCTCGGGGCTGCACCGAACCTGCACCATGAAGTCCTCCAAGACCCCCAAGCCCTCTGGCCAGACCGACATCGCCAGCTTCTTCGCCAAGAAACCCAAGCCGGCGGCGCCGCCGGCGGCCGAGCCCCCGGGCAAGCAGGTGGCGGAGCCAGCCGCCAGTAGCCCAAACGAGAATGCCGGGCAGGCCAGCACCGCGGCAGCGGCTGCACCCAAGGCCGCCGTGCCCAAGGCCGCCGCACTCAAGCGCAAGCCTGGCAAGGTGCGAGGCGGCGAGCCCGCAGGCGGAGCTGGCGCCACGGACCGCCCCTGATCGTGGTCGCAGCAACGTGCCATGCACCACACCGTGCAGGGTGCTTTGTATGGCGCTTGTGCAGCACATTCCTCGTACCTCGCCGCTGCCGGCACCTTGCATGCATCAACCCTTGCCGTCCCACCACCCTGCAGGCGGCCGCGGGGCCGGCAGCAGGCGGTGACGGCGGCAAGAAGCTGAAGCGGCTGCGCAAGGCGGATGACGAGACCTCGCCTGCCCAGGCGGCGGCCGCCGCTGCAGCAGACGAGCTGGAGGATGCCGACGTCGGTGCCGCGCCTGCCAGCAAGGGAGCAGGCGCAGCTGGCGCAGCGGAGGCTGCCGCGGCGCGCACCCCCGCCAAGCCGCAGCGTGCCCCCGCCTCGCCGGCCCCCGCCAGCAGCCCCGGCGCCGGCCCCAGCAGCGGCAGTGGCGGCCTCAAGGGCAGGCTGCTGGAGGATGCAGCGCAGGCGGCGGCGCTGGACCAGGCGGTGGCTGCTGAGCTGGAGGAGGAGGAGGCGGAAGATGAGGATGAGGTGGACAGCTCCACCAGCGAGGCAGAGGGGGAGGAGGGGGAGGAGGCGGCCTCGCCCTCCGCCTTTGACGTCATGAAGGCCGCCTCCAAGAAGAAGAAAGCGTCGTCTGCCAAGAAGGGCAAGGTGCGCTGCTGCGCTGTGAGCTCTCAGCGGGGTGGTGGGCGAGGCGTGCGCTCCAGCTCCGGGGCGGGTGAGGCGTCCCAGCGGCGGCGCTGCGGCTGCCTGTTGGCGCGGCCGTCCTCGCCACAGCCATGTGGCTTGCTGAGCCGCAATGCATGGGACCCCGCAGGTGGATGGCGTGGGCACGGGAGCCATCAGTGCAGCTGCCGAGCATCGCGCCTTTGATCTCAGGTGCGCCCCTGACTCCTGCCCTGCTTGGTGGCGGGTATATGCGTTTGTGGCGCCCGCCTGCCCTGCCTGCCTGTCTGGCATGCTCTACAATCCAACCACTGCCTCGTGTCCCTGCCCTCCTTCCGCAGCAAGCTGGTGACGTGGGGTGAGGGCAAGCCTGTGCCCTTCCGCTTCCTGGCCGACACCTTTGAGCTGATTGCCGAGGAGCCCAAGGTGGGGGCGGTTGGTGGTGTGGTGTGGTGTGGTGTGGTGGTGGTGCGGTTGGCGGTATGGTGGAGTGGTGGCGTGGTGGAGCGGGATGCGGTGCGCCGCGCCGTGGCAGCCGCATGCCTGCCGCCGCCCCGCCTCCTGCCTTCGCCGCCCTGCCTGCTGCTGCACCCCTCCACCGGCATGCCGCCCGCCCCCGCCCCGCCCGCACCCCTGCAGCGCCTTGTGATCACCCGCCACCTCACCCACGCCCTGCGTGCCGTCATCGCCACCACGCCCGCCGATCTGCTGCCCATCGTCTACCTGTGCACCAACCGGGTGGCGCCCGCGCACGCGGGGGTGGAGCTTGGCATTGGCGACGCCACGCTCATAAAGGTGGGTGGGTGGGTGGTGGGGAGGTGTGGGCAGGCAGGTGGGGGGGCGCCTGTGTGTGTGTGTGGTGGTGGGCGGGGACAGGTGCCTGCCTGTCTCGGAAATGCGGCGGGGCCGGCGGCAGCGCTGCTCGGCCCCCTGCCGCCTCCCTCCCTGCCTCCTCTCCGGTGCGGCCTGCCCTCCCCACCGCCCCCAGGCCTCCTCCCTCATGACCGTGCCCCGCTCGCGTGCCTGCAGGCGCTGGCGCAGGCCACCGGGCGCAAGGAGAGCGCCATCAAGGCAGAGTATGGCGAGTGCGGCGACTTGGGCCTGGTGGCGGCCAAGTCGCGCGGCAGCCAGAAGCCGATGTTCAAGCCGCCGCCGCTGACGGTGCAGAAGGTGGGGCCGGGCTGGGGGGGCGCAGGTGGCGGGGCGGGGCGGGGCGGGCTGGAGGGGGTGGCCAAGAGGGGGCAGGCGCACGGCAGGGGACCCCCTGCTGCGGCCTTCATCGCGCCCACACGATGCTCCTCGCTTCTTGCATCACACACACACACACACACACAGGCGCCCGCCCCTCCCCAACCCCGCCCCCGACCCTGCCCCTCCCCATCCCTGCCCCTCCACCCCGCCCCCCCCTTCAGGTGTTTGCCGCCTTCAAGGAGATTGCCTCCACCAGCGGCAGCAAGAGCCAGGACCGAAAGGTGCGGTCCATCGTGGGACTGCTGGCGGCGGCGGACCGCGAGGAGGCGGGCTACGTCATGCGCCAGCTGCAGGGCAAGCTGCGCATCGGGCTGGCGGAGCAGACGGTGCTGGTGGCGCTGGCGCACGCGGCAGCGCTACAGCGGGAGGGCGGCGGCGCGGGCGGGGCCAGCGAGGAGCTGGCAGGGCGGCTGGAAAGCGCGGCGCAGGTCGTGAAGCAGGTGGGGCTGCGGCGGCGCCGGCTGGGGCCGCCGTGTTGAGGGCTGGGCTGGGCTGGGCGGGGCGGGCTCGCACAGCCCTGTAGTGCCTGCTGCTGCAGCCTGGCCGGCCTGGGCCGCACCTCGGCAGCGGCTGCGCTCCGCCTGCCACCCGCCTGTCGCCTGCCTGCCCCCACCACCTGCCTGCCCGCCTGGCAACCGCCCGCCTGCCTGCCTGCCTGCCCTAAACCCCCACACGCCTGCCCGCCCGCCTGCCCGCAGGTGTACAGCGAGTGCCCGTCTTACGACGATCTGGTGCCCGCCCTGCTGGCGCACCCCATCGCCGACCTGCCCTCCCGCGTGCACTTCAAGCCCGGGGTGCCCGTCAAGCCCATGCTGGCCAAGCCCACCAACGGTGAGACGCCGCGCCCGCACCTGCGCCTGCGCCCGCGCCTGCGCCTGCCTGCGCCTGCCTGCGCCTGCTTCACGCTCTGCCGCGCGCGCTGCCGCCAGTGAGGAGGTGGTGCCCGCCGTTGCCGCCGCTGCCGCCGCTGCCGCCGCTGCACGCCCACCCCCGCCGATCCCCCACCACCTAGCCCCGCACACACCACGCCACACCGCATCACACACACCACATCTCACACACCTGCCCCGCACACACACAACACACACACACACACACACACCGCAGGCGTCGGCGAGGTGCTGGACAAGTTCACCGACCGCGAGTTCACTTGCGAGTACAAGTACGACGGCGAGCGGGCGCAGATACACGTGCTGGAGGGAGGGAAGGTCAAGGTGGGCGCGGGCGGCGGCGCGGCACGCGCGTGGGCGGGCTGGCATGCTGCGGCAAGCTCGGGCGGGGGTAGGGGTGTGGGGGTGGGGGTCCCTGCCATCTCTGCGCCTTCCCCTCGCCGTGCACCTGGCTACACCCGCACACCCCACTAGAATGGCACACCCGCACCACACCACACCACCTGGCGCCACCCGCAGATCTACAGCCGCAACAGCGAGGACAACACGGGCAAGTACCCGGACATTGCGGCGCTGGTGCCCGGGCAGCTGAGGCCGGGGGTGACCAGCCTGGTGCTGGATGCAGAGGCGGTGGCCTGGGACCGACAGCACAACAGGGTGCTGCCATTCCAGGTGAGGTGGCAGGGTGTGTGTGTGTGTGTGTGTGTGTGTGTGTGTGTGTGTGTGTGTGTGTGTGTGTGTGTGTGTGTGTGTTG